CGTCGATGGCCCCTCTTTTCGAAGTTTGGTTAAAAGCAAGCTTTGCATGTGTTCTATCGCCCATATCGGGCATTATGCGTTGAGTTGTCAGCTATGCAGATACAGAAGCAAACTATGGAATTAGCTACTTTACTTACACTAACTTTCACTAACTTCAATTACCACAATTGTCATGCTGACGAAGTCCAATTGTGGATTGGTAAGAAATGTATACGACTCAGTGAACCGAAACACTTCTTACCATTATAATAATTTCACAAATTTCTTGATTTTCGTTTCTTACTTTCTTATTCCTTTTTTATGCGTTTTTTGCAGCTATGCAATGCAAAAACGCATATTGTCAAGGGGTTGTCTGCGTGTGTGCGTCAGTGTGTATGTATGTGTGTGTGTCTGTGTGTGCGTCTGTAACGAGTTTTTCATCTCGAGATCCACAAAAGCTACAAGGCTGAAAATTTGGTGACTTAATCCACACATACGTGCGGGCTCGTATACTCAAAATGGACGCTCAGGTCCGCGTGGTTCTCACATAGGGGCACGTGAAAATTTTTTTGGCGGGAAAGCGTTTTGGGAACGGCCCATGCTAGGAGGCTGGAACTTCACAGAGTGTTCCTTAGCCGTGTCTAATCCAAAGATTTCAAATTCAGCCTTCACGCACCCTCAGAACTCACGTACGTAGACGTCAAAGTTTAAACTGGCATCACGCCAACTCCAGATTTAAGGCAATCAATGAACTGCAGAGAACTGCAGTTTTGCAGCGTTACTTGATGCCCACTGTTGTATCCGTGAAAGTAAGTTACATGTCAGCCCTTCTGCGTCTGACGTACGAACACGTGTACACACGTGAAGTTTGAAGTAACTCCGCAACCAGAGCAGCTGGTGTGCCGAAACTTTTTGGGCGCTACCTAGGACCGTGTTTGACCAGCCGCAGACGAAAAAAGCACTCACGTTGCCACTCACGTACGAACACGTGAAATTTGACGTAACTCTGCAACCAGACGAAACCTTCCAAGCGTTACCCAGGACCGTGTTTGAGTAACCCCAAGCGAAGAAAGCATTCACTTCACCATTTACGTACGAATACGTGAAATTTGACATAACTCTGCAACCGGAGCAGCTTGAGTACTGAAACTTTTTGCGCACTACCTAGGGCCGTCTTTAAGTAAACCCAAGCGAAGAAAAAACTCACGTTGCTACTCACGTACGAACACGTGGAATTTGGCGTAACTCCGCGACCGAGGCATCCAGAGCGCTGAATTTTTTGGGGATGGATTGGGAGTCATTGTAATCATTTCTAACAGTCACGGTGGTCAGTCAGAATTCTTTTAGCTAGAAGCATCTGCCAAAAAGAACGTGCCACTGGCGAAAAAAACCTGCGAGGGGT